TTCACTCCGGCGCCTCGTAAAAACCCGTAGCCATGAGGACCCTGAAACCGTCAACCTTCTGTTTGAAAAGCTGCCGCATACTGCAGCTTGTTTGCACCCGATCCATGTTTTATCTCGTAAAAAGTAGCCAACACGTGCAGACTGCCCTAACATATCAAGGAATTGGCTTGCCAAAACATGACAGCGCTCGTCATGCCAACATTATCAGACGGGACCCACCGGCGATCTAATTCAATGTCAAATGTGAATGCACGAGAACTGGGACGGACAGCAGGGATACACATGAATGGTCGACGCGTCTTTCAAAATAGCCGGTAAATTTTATTCCACAAGTGCGAAAATGCGTTTGTTTCACCATCATGTACTTACTGGCCATTTCATCTTTGCGGTACGTTATGACTCGGTCCCATATAACCACATAATAGAAAATAGCAAAATTGACTGCAAAATAGAAAATAGGTACATCATGACAAAACCCGCTTGCTAAGCAGAATTTACCGGATATTTTGTCGAATCTGACAACAATGGCTGTCACCCTCGTTTATCTCAGTTTTCGTATATTTCATATGCGATATCCAGCAGGGTCCGTGTCAATTGGACATGAACCTTAGGCGGTGTCCAGCTGATGCTGAAATGGAAAGGACTATCAGGTTCCTACAGGATACTGTGTGGTTTAAAACGAACGTTAAACTTATAGTAATGTGTTCAGGTACTTGTGTACCAACAGGCGAAGGAAATTTCATGTTTGTTCTTAATCCCAGAGTTCTTTCTTCCGATATGCATTTGTGGGACTCAGAGGTGCATTGGAGGGGGGGAGGGGGGGTTTAAGTCAGCATTGGGAGGAGGGCACCCCCAAAAGTGTATAAAGTAACGCCCCTGTTTGGAAGTAATCAGCCATGGACCTCCTCGTTCACAATGGACCGACACTTCAGCACTCCTTCGGGTCTGCCTCTGGTTTGCAACTCGCGCGTAATCCGCAGTGACGTCACGGGGGCTGCAGTGGCGGGGGCACGTCATTTTGCGGTGCTCAAGCGCCTGGCTGAACTCACTGAGTCGGAGCATTGCTCCCTGACATGACCGGCACCCGTGCTATTCTTATCCCAGTATCACACCCTGACGTCACGTAGACGCACGTCACCGGAAGTCGTGAGGGGAAGGAAGGGATTCCACACTGCACATCACTTCGAAACACGACCGAAGCGGCAATGATGCAAGCTTTGCTCACGGCTGCAACGATACGGGAAAAAGTGCGGGGCGAAGATGGTGATGGGCAGGATTATCCCAGATTTGGAGGTGATGAGAGGGGCTTCAAGCGCTTTAAAGGTGTTGAAATGCTTGTGTCATCCGCACAGTTTTCTCGATTTCTTTCAAAATTAATGTCACAAGTCACCGAGCTCGAGTCTGGTCAAAATGTTAAACACTGCTGAAACGCCGCTACCACACGGTAGGTTATTTCACCGTTAAATGATCTCCTAAACGAACTAAAAATTGAAAATTTTCGAGAGCCATCATAATTCCCTGAAAATGAACAACTCAGAAGCTAACTATCTCGTTTGTTGCGCCTCGTGCGCCGAGTGTTTGTTGAGCTTCGTCATCGAAGTGGATTGGATGTTTGGCATTCCGCAGCCAGAGAGCATAGCACATGACTGAACTGCTGCCAGCAAGTCTAGCTTGGCCGCGCGTCAGTTTCGCCAGCACGTCCCCACACAGCCGGTCATGGGCCAGCTGGTCTGTCCGCAGTTGCGCCGTGCCCAGCTCTACCCTCCGCTCCCCGTCCGCGAGCCGGCCCAGCTGCGGTCGGCGGCGGCGGCGGTCCTCGGCGTGCCTTATACGTCGCCGGGCGGCGGCCGGGTCGGGGTCAAGCCTTGGCGCCGGCCGCCGGGTCGGCCCGGCGGAGAGGCGGGCGGCGCTGGAAAAGGCCGGCTTGTGCTGACTAGGACCGACGCCGGCTTGGGAGCGGATGGGTCTGCCGAAAGGCGGGCCGCGGATGATTGTCTGCCGGACCTCACGGTGACCGGGTTGCTAAGTGCGTATCGCTGGCCACCCGCGCGTGGCACAGCGACACGCATTTAACGGAAGAAGACACTGCCGCCTGCAGTGTCTCCTGTCCGCCGTGCGTGATGTGTCTGCCGTGTCTGCTGCGTCTGCTCTGTCATTTGTGCCTGTTATGTTCGATGTTTAGTGCTAGCCGTAACTGAGGTGTCCATTATGCCCGTCGTGTTTGGTGCCGCATTTCGTCGTAAATGCGCATTGCACCCGGCTAAGAAATGCGCAAAGACAAAGAAAAATGTCAAACATGCTCTGTTGACTTGCACATGAACTCTCACATCTGCTTTCTAAAATGTGTTAAGAGTGTGAATCTTAGGTTTATTGGATGAAAACAATGTTGTGGGATAAGACTTCATTCATCTGAGAACTTTGCGGTACCGAGACTTAGCCGACACAGGAAACCCACTTTGGGGTATAAGTACGGTGGCTCGGACGGGGCACTCCCGGCTGACGGGGGCACTCCCGGCTGACACATGCGGTCTGCCCTGGAGAAGCCGGGCGCTGGGAGAATGCGGGATGAGTCGCGATTCAGGGAAAAGGCCCATGTTAGAGTGAGCCTGGAGTGTCTGACTTCAGCCATAAGTATGATGGTTGTCCAGGTGTGAGACACTCCTGTCTCCGAGCTGGCCGCGGCGGGCACCGCCTGTCTGCCGAGCGCACGCAGGGCACATTTTTGCACGCGATTCGTCGATCGATGATCGCATCGACGGAAGTCCGTACACACCCCGAGCTCACATGCAGTACAATCGGACAAAATATCAGTAAATGTATGGGGCCGGGCTTGAGTCAAGATCGCTCGGATATCGGTCCACGATCGATTAGCACGTCTTCGACGTACGATTTCAGTGTCAATTTTCTTGATAATGATTCACAGAGGTTTGAAAATGTATCTGAATGCCTCTTTAGAGCTTCAGATGCTGCCCCTTTTTTATTTCCCTAAAACCGACGACAGTCAAGATTGCATCCACAAGAATGCACGATCATGCCCAACACAGATTACTGCAGATGTACGCTATCTCATCAGATATGTTAGCCACTGGCGTAAACGTCTTCCTTCTCGTCGGCGCCGCGCTCCAATCACCTAATACAAGTCCAAAGATATCCCGGGATGTGTAGATGAGCCCTTCTAGCGATATGCCTTAAATGCCGCAGTTCAAAATTGCTATTTTAACGAAATGAATCAGGCCGGCACCCGCGAACTGAGGGCGTGGCCTCACTACCATAACTGACGTCAACAGGAAACATTTCTGATTGTGCTTGCACAACATACAAGCGACGATTGCATGTTATGCATGCATTATGAGTGTGCGTGCACGCTCCGGTGTGATCCGACCAGGGGCACTAAGATCCAGACCTTAAAGCTCCAACACATGCACAGCTCTCTGGCGTGGGTGGCGTCGCCGGAGTTGGCGCCGTCCACGTCAGATGGTGTTTGATTTGCAACTGCCCAGGTTTTTCAGCTGTTCTGCTCAGCTTACCCGCACTGGGTGGCAGAGCATACGGCGGCGCCCAGTACTCTGCGAAGGCTGGTCCTTCTGGTACGTTTGTTGTTGGTATGTTCTGGTATGTCTGGAAACCTGCGTTTGCTATGGAACGAATGACTGGTGTACGACTGATTGTGCGTGGTAGATAAACTAACCAATAACCTCGAGGGTTTGGTGAGACTGTAGGTGTTCAGCTGTTTAAGAAGAAAAGTTTCCTAATGTTTGCACTGCTGCATACATCTTAACGAGGGAGCTCTAACGTTTGTCAATGTTTTTACGTTATTTGGTTCATCCGCATACGGTATGGAGAATATTTTGTACACCAAAATAAGGACGTGATATGTCATTCAGATGGGATGGTCATGCGGTAAAGTTTGATGTCGTTCGGTTTATGAGAAAGGTGTTGATATGAATGCATATCACATTTCAGCTTTGCACAAAGGCTGCAAATTACTGCCAAACATTTTCAAGTGTTAGCACATGTGGTCGAGCTCCACCTTAAAAATATAACTTGAGGCCAATGCTGGCACAATCTATTGCTCTCTGTTTGGTGCCACACATATGTGGGTAAAAATGGACGTGAATGTGTATTGCGTGGCATAGCCCATTATGCCAAAACATTCTGTCCCGCTGGTAATGTTCTGTAAATTTGCGAACCATGAACGAACGACTGTAAGATCCTCGTATAGCACGAATTCATGTATTGTTATTTGCCGAATTAACATCCACACATTACACTCGCAACATTCCCACCAGTTAAATAATATTCATGGGACATTAGCTTCGCCTTTTGTGCACATCAAAGACAACCACACAACAAACGGCAATTGTACTGTCACCGATGACGATCGCAGCCAAGGTAACAGACATCAATGCAGAAAAAGCAAGCCAGCAAATACAAATGAAGTCTAGAATACGTACTGTGAGCTGTGACGTGACGGAGCTGTACACAACTGTGACGGAACTGTAAGCAAACTGTGATGAAACTGTACACATCTGTAGCGGCAGACACTGCTGGAGAGGTGTACGATAAGGCGCACTTACACCGGTTTATTTCGAACGCTGCAACGTGCTCCTCATTTCAACGCTTCCAAATTCAACGTGAACGGCACCGTATCCCACCTTTCCCGGGCAGCATATTTAGTGGCCTCGTTCATCAGCCAAAGAAATGTCTGGCGGCTCTAGAAACCTGACCGCGTCCGCTGCAGCAGAGGCAAGGAGCAAAAAAATGGCACCGGCGGTAGCTCGTCAACGGCGGATTGCCGTGACTTCATCGATCTGCCTCATGACTCATGACTATGACTCTCCAGAAAAACCTCCCGAAAAAAACTCCAAAAAAACTCTCCAGAAAAACGTCCCGATACGAGCACCTCCACTAGTCGCAGCCGCTTGATACCGGTGACGTCGCCAGCCTGCTTGTCACGGTTTCCTGGCTCATGTCGCGGAGCAGGCCGGACCTGGCGCCACCTGGCTGAGACCTGCAGCTGACTGTGGGCAGGTGGCGCCACCAGCGCCAGCGCGCACAGCGGAGATGCATCTGTCTCGTATTCGGCGGAGCTGGTGGCAGGTGGCGCCACCAGCGCCAGCGCGCACAGCGGAGATGCATCTGTCCCGTATTCGGCGGAGCTGGTGGCAGGTGGCGCCACCAGCGCCGGCACGCAGCCGAGACGCACCAGTCATGTCTTCGGCGGGGCTGGGGGCAGTGAGGTGCTCAACGCTATTCCGGAATCATCAGTGCTCGCTGCCGCCTGATGCAGTCATCACCCTGGCGGAGGTCACGTGTAACCAGCAGCTGGCGTCGGGTGAGCAGCTGGCGCTGGGTCAGCAGCTGGCGCCGGGTCGTCAGCTGGCGCCGGTGGCGCCGGGTCATCAGCTGGCGCGGGGCTAGCAGCTGGCGCGTCGCTGATGTTTAGTTGGTGTCCTTCAAATCTGGAAACATCAATAGCACGTAAGGCTCATTGTCGAATGGAACTATCACGTGAGGGACACAAGCAAACTTTGAGCAAAATTCCGTTGCATCCACGCAACAACCACGCAGCCGTGCGCGTGACGTGCATTTGGCTGCACCTCTATGTCATGTAGCATTAGGGATACGCACCACCGCTTCCTGGTCAATGTGAGCACACTTACTGACTTCGCCTGATCAGCATGCACCAAAAGTAGACGTAAAGAAAGGCACATGGCACTAACTGCTCACACCGACTTATCATCGTCAAGCAGTTTTTGGGTAGAAGCGAATACCTCTAAAGAGCTCTTAAGGCTCTGAATTACGGTCAGGAGGCGAGACTGAGTCTCCGAACAAGAGATGGGCTGTCCCTTGTCCCGAGAGCTTAGCACAATGCATTCATCACAACACAATGCAACACTCACCCGCCAGTGTAGCCAGAGAACGGCTTCGGCGGTCCGTACCCGCTCGAAGTTTCCAGCGGCCGGGGAGGTCCGAACCCGAACACAGGGCCTTGGTAGCCGTGCCCCTTGTGGTGTCCCTTATGGTGCCCCTTGCTGAAGACCCCATGGCGCCCGAAGCCATAGCCGTCATACCCTACGCTGTGCCCCTTGTTATGTCCGTAGCCCTTGCCATGTCCGTGGCCTTTGACCTTAAAGATGGGCACCTCATAGCGGACAGGTACGGGGATATGGATGGGTTTGGCCACCGGGTATGGTTTGGGGTACGGGATCGGCTTGGCCACCTTGACGGGCACTTTGACGTGATACGGCTTCGGAATGGGAATCGGTACCTCCTTAACAAAGAACTTGAATTTTGGAAGCCAAATAGGGAAGTAGCTCACATCGGGCTTGTACGAGAACATGTCCATGAGCCCTTCCATAAAGCCCTTGCCCTTGCCCCCGTGGCCCTTTCCCTTGTGTCCCTTGCCCTTGTTGAAGTTGTAGAAGTGCGGGTCAACCTCTCCGTAATATTCGTCATAACTGCCATAGCCATGATGTTCACCATAGCCGCCTTGGTCACCAAAGCCCTCATAGCCACCAAACCCCTTGTGGTGACCAAAGCCCTTGGGCCCATTATAGCCCGCGTAATCACCATAGCCACCGTAGTTTCCATAGCCAAAATCATCTCCATAGGAGTGGTGCTCTTGGAAGCCCTTACCACCTTTCAGTGTCCGAGCTCCCGCACTTCTTCCGTACTGATCACCATGAGAGCCGTAGTTATAGTCATGGTCGTTACCCCCATAGTGATCTCCCTCGTAGTCATTGGAACTGAAAAGCCCTTTTCCTTTTCCACCCGTGTTATAATAACTTTCGGAGCCATAAGGTCCAGCGTAAGACCCCTTCCCTTGTTTCCATAGCACGATACCGTCTTTCAGACCATGCTTAAGCCCCTTCTTGAGAGCCTTGAGAGGAGGGATATCGACCCCGAATTCATACTTGTAGTCCTGAAGGTCGTGTGACCCTTCGTGACCACCCCCACCGTAGCCTCCATGGCCACCGTAGCCCTGCTCTTCGTAACCACCATAGCTAGCTGGGTAGCCCTGCGGCCCACCGTCGTAGCCCCCTGACGGGCGGCCGCCACCGTAGCCGCCGTAGCCTTCGCGGGCGGGCGGCCCGCCGCCGCCACCCCCAGCGTCTGCGGCGGCAGCCGCCACTAGGGCAGCTAGGGCGAGAAGCTGGAACAGAGGGAACGCTGGGGGTAACAGCCGCATCGGTTAACGTACGGATGACGAGTCGTTCAGACGGAGCGCCAATTTGCTGCAGGGTGTGGCAGCTACGCACGGCCAGGGCGACGAGACCCGGAAGCGGTCGGATCAGTGGGAGGCTCGTGCCACTTCGGCTGGTCGGGTTATCTTCACGCCCGCTGGGAAAGCTGCTGGTCGTGCAGTGTTTTCACTGGGAGTTTAAGTCTAAAAAAATACAGCGGGCAACGAAACTGGCAATGCCGGTCTTCCGATAATCCGCTAATCTACCGAAGCGTGCGTGTGTAGGAATGCGTCGCGCGAAAGCGCACTGTAAGTGGTTTACTGGCGTTGATTCTACATCAATATGAATTTGGTCAGTTCTGTGAACGTTTTTCACCGCACGTGTTTAAGTGTGTATGCAGTGTTTGCTGACAATTACAAACATAGAACTCAGACCCGCCCGATGATTCTGGCCGCTTTGTGCTTTGCATTGAGTAATGCCTTTGCAGAAGCACCTGTGGAGTTTTGCATTGCTTCCCCTGACCCCTGGTTGCGGTTTTGTGTCTGCGAGCCGGCGCCCGCCTGGCGCGAGGCCTTACTCTTGAACTGTCATCACTAACTGCTGAACAATGAATGCGGTCATACCCCAACTTGGTGTACCTGTCATGTGGTCAGCTTCACGTGATGCGGCAGGAATATGCATGCTCTTTGATGCGTCAGCTGACAGGTTGTGCATATATAGCGTCATTAGTGGACGGCTGCACGGCTGTTTTTCCATGTCCAGCCACAGCTCAAACTCAAACAGCCTAAACACGAAGCTGCTTGCACTTATATGCACCAAAACGTCATTGCAGTGCATTGCACTGATAAATGACATTGTACTGAAACAGCGGCTTTGATTTTGTTTGGTTCTATGACCCCATACGGCTCAGCATTCAGAAACAGGAGAACGGAGTGATACAAATGCAGCCGACGTGACCCAGCAGAGATGAGCACCGCGACGGTGACGCGTACCGTGACATATGTCGACAGCGAAATTGACAAGAGGCTACTGGGGCAGCTCAAGAAGGAAACTAACAGAGTTACGGAGGTGCCGATATTGTCATAAGGCTCGGGATAAGCGGACATTTCCAGAAGGGCAAGGAGCTGCTATGAGGTTTGTGGTCTGCGACATAGCGATTTTAAATGTGCTAACACGGCTTCGGATCACCGAGATGACCAGGCGGTTCCGAGTTCGAACAATAGTCGAGTCACTAGTATTGGATTCCCCAGGGTGTCCCAGGTCAGTGCTCGTGAACCGCCTCAAGAAGGTCTACATGCCCCCGTATCAGTGAAAGTTCCGAGGCCTCAGCTACGCACAAAACGCAATACTGAAGCACTATTCAACGATGCTTACAGGTATGTGATATGTGTATCGACGAATAACGTCCGTACGATACATCTGCATGAGTTAGGCACTCTATGGGCCAATTTAACACTCCTGCAAAGAGGCAACACCTATACCGGTAACAATCAGCCCACCTCTTGTCCCACAGTTCTGGTACCAGCCTACCATTTCAATCAATTCTGCCTCTAGTGGAATGTTGCCTATGTCACCTGACAATAACAAAGCACAGACACGTGGTAGAAGGAGCTAACGCAAGTCACGTCTACGAGACACCAACAACAGGGCGCCAGTGGAGTCTCATCACCGTCACGAGCCGTCACGGAACCATCACCAGTTACTTACCTTCATCGCTCACCACAGCACCCGCACGACTGACCCACAGTCGCCGCCGTCTGCACCTTCTCACGTAGGCGGGATGCAAGGGTGCCGTGCTGCCCACTTCGCCCGCTTTCCCTGGCGGATGGGCTCTCTGGATCCCGTTTGGCCGGCGGCACGGGTGGGGGGGGGGGGGGGAGGGATCGTCGTCCACCAGCGGCGCCCAGCTTGCACCGCGGAGAGAGAGAGGGGTCCGGTCCGGTCCGGTCCGGTCCGGTCTGGTCCGGCCGGTCCGGGCACCAGCTCCCAGAGTCTTGCCAGGTCAATGTAGGTCACGGCGGCCGGAGCCCAGCGGACCATCTTCCGTGGCGGCCCCACGAGCGACTGTGCGCGTGTCGCGACCTTGATTCAGGTTTCGGCGATGGTGGGTCGGGCGTGAGCGACTGACACTGGCGACTATCCGGTACCGCGGCCATCGTGGAATAGCCGTGAATTTGGCCGCGCTCGCGTTGGATCGCTGGACTAGCCGTGAGCCAGCATCACCAGCGGTGATGCCGTGCTGCGTCGAATGCCGTCTAATCGCCCAGTGTCGCACGCTTCTGAAGCTCTGATCACACACAGACTGGTCGGTTAGCTTGGGCGGACGCACTCTCACAGCGAATGGCCGCTGTTTCCGGCCACGAGAGGCACAACAAAGTAATCGGTCCGACGCCATCTGGCTATCCGATGGCGTAGCGTCAGTGAAGTGACCACAATGGTTCAGTTAATACAAAATAGATACATGTTCGGATGTTCAGGGTCTGTAAACTACAAGATTTAACGAGGCGTGCGTCGATTCTTACCATGATATTGTGCACACCGTCTGTCATGATTATTCGCCACGCCATTCATATTCCATTCATATTCATATACCACGCACATTCACAACAGCACGTCGTCAAATGTTTGGACCCGATCGACTCAAGACAAAAGCATGGACACCTCGAAACAGATGCACTGCTCAGCTCCCCAGTTAAACTTTATAGAATTGTATGATGTCCGAAAGTTCAAGTCACCGTGCCTGTAAAGTTGAGTCTTGATGGGTCCGATGAAGTTGCTCTGAAATGGAGGCGAGTGACCTTGAACCTGTGTGATGGAGACAGAAATACTAGCGAATTTTCGTACTAGTTCTTGTTCTCCGATAAATGGTGTTTTTTTCAACTCTTGTCGGACGAGAGGGCATGAATTTACAAATTCCAATGCATGTCTTACCATAAACCTATGTTATCACACGCCTGAACGACAAATGCGGTTGAGATGGTTGAAAAGGTCACTGCTCACATGTCAGAGGCAAGATTTTCCTTTTTGAGCAACAAAATGTAAAAGAAGCTGCACTCTTGGCTAAATAAAATTTCAGCACCATACTTAAGTGGCTCAAAAAAAGATTCTAGCAAAACAGAGCCTTAGGGGGTCTATCAGGTCTCCCATCATCAGGATCCATTACCAGTTCATAAATGTGACCGGGCTGTACTTCAAAGGGAGTACATCCACCCATAAAATTAAGATGTATACCCGTGCGTGGAGAGCTGGCGTACAATCGTCTTTATTACTGAGGTACCTTCCTTTTTCTACCCGTTCCTGATTGTGGGTGTAAACACGCCTCTCATAAGTCTGATGGGGCCAGTCAGGGTTTGAGGGGTCAAACTCGAATCTTGGAGTCGAACTGACCTGGAAATGCCCCGCTAAATGGGAAAAGTGAGGACATGCATTTTGCGGCAAAATTAGAGCAAACGAAATCTTACCTTGAAGAAATCTTCACACATGTCCTCTCCAGCCTACCCCCGTCCCTTGTCAGTAGTTACACCCATGCGATTAGTTAATTACTCCTCCTGCAAATCGTCTGCAATATCGCGCCCACACATAAAACAACATTAGTGGGTTACTAAGCAGTGCTGTGCACGGGTGTACTAAACTGCTCTCCGCGCCGTGTTGAAACCATCCATAGACAATTTGCATCACCAAAAAAAACAAATTTACAGGCAGTTAGTGAAAGTATACACAAGAGAATCGGGGATATATGCAACAACGTGCTAACCAGCGCGGATGCAACTCAATAATGATCAACACCACATTCAAGCTCTTCAAGCAGCGAATAACTCAAGGCATCCTATTTATCTTGCTCCAAAAGTTGTAATCCCTTCAACACGTGAGGGAAAGTTGTTGAAACCGTTTTTAACACTGATTACGAGGGAGAAGCAGAAAAGTGAGAATATATATATATATATATATATATATATATATATATATGTGTGTGTGTGTGTGTGTGTGTATGTGTGTGTGTGTGTGTGTGTGTGTGTGTGTGTGTGTGTGTGTGTGTGTGCGTGTGTGCGTGTATACGCGGAGCGAGGAGCTAACAGACCAACAGACGTGTCCGACGTGACGAAACCATGGACAAGCCCTCGCCAACGATACGTCAAACGGGAATCAGGTGTGCAGCTGAAGTTCCGAAAGCGTTATCTCAGTGGTTGGCAGAGGATGATCCATACTGTTACAAAAACCGGAGTACATAATTGACTGAGTGTGAAATAATACGCACTGTTGAAAGACTAGAATTCAGATCATTTCGTGCACAGTTCCTCACCAGCCTACCCCGTTGATCGCCAAATTATTGAAAATTTTGTTCAAATGTAGAACAACTGCTTAACTCAAAGTAGGCATCAGAACAGTACCTTTATAAAATTTGTTGTTGTTGGTTATCGAATAAATTATTATTGGTACAAGGCTAAGGATGTATTCCTCGCTGAGAGGAAGTCATTAGAAATTACCACCAGTGTTCTGTTGGATTCACAACATGGTTGGGATGAGACATGAATACGAAATATTGCTTGAATAAGATCTGGATACATGCATCAGGAGACAGAGATCATATTTCCGTAAGTTTTCAACTCTTTACAGAACCCAATGCCCGCATTTATAACCAAAGGAACGAGATCACGTAGGGAGGAGGGGGAGGGGGTGGCGGCATGACGCCACAGCCCCAAGCTTGCCCGTACGTCTTCGAAAGAAGCGAAGTATGCGTTAAGTTTAGCAGAGAGTGTTAAGCAATTATTTCCTTGAGCTCCGACGCTGTGGACACCTTTTTAATTAAAAAAGAATGTTTTGCATGAATGCTGTTACTTTCCCACATACCTTCAACGACATTCACCACATCGAGTACGAAATCCAGTGGCGGTCAATGTTGATTATACCACACCATCGACAAATTCGGTGCGCGCGCCCAGAGGCGGTAGTCAGTCGAAAAAAACAGCGAAAGCTAAGCAATGCCAGATGGGCATAAACATGCACATCGGCAAATTTCAAAACTACCTTTGGTCCAGTGCTGAAGATTTTCTGGCACGATAATTTGCTCGCAGCACCCAGACTTTCTAGAATCACAATTATGTTTTACTCCTTTTCATTCCACGGCAGGAAGCCGCGCCTGAACCAATCCCATCATTGCCTGGATCGGTATGTGGGTAGATGAAAGCTGTGCTCGGCCGCCAGGCATATTCGCAGTTCACTGCGCGGCCAAACGCAGACCAACTTATGACAAGTCGACATCAGCGGTGTGTTTCGATCCGATGACCAAACACGAGATAAAGAATGGGGATTTCGTGTGATAAGACCCGTTTGCCTCGCTCTAATCTCACCGGCTACGGTACAGGTGAACACCAGTGACCAGTGCTGGAAGGATTAGCCGGCTTTCTAATTGGCCGCTCAGTGTCTTCACAGGCGTTGCCGGACACGTTTGCCGCCTTATGTCCGCACACCTTTCAGTTTGGCGGCTTTCCATTTCGGTTCTATAAATATGTGTCTCCTTCTTCTACGGTTAGATGCTGCATTCCGTAACAAACAGGCTTCAGCGCGTTGCATGAATTCAAGCTCATTGCTGACCTGCGATGTTATAACCGTGCTCGTGACACCCTAGACGTTACTACTATGGATTAAACGTCGCCATACCCAAATTTGTGTGGTTATTTTGATGAACTGTGCACAAATACGTCGGTTTTGCCACCGGTGATAGTTTTTACATACACAGAAACGTGCGCGCGCTCGCACGCGCACCCACACAGAGAGAGAGAGAGAGAGAGAGAGAGGGGAGAGAGAGAGGAGAGAGAAGAGAGAGAGAGAGAGAGGAGAGAGAGAGAGAGAGATATATATTATACATATATATATATATATATATATATATATATATATATATGTATATATATACATACTATATATATATATATATATATATATATATATATATATATATATATGAGGTAATCTACACGTGAACAATGCGTGCAAAGGTAGCAAAATATAACCTTTTTGCGCTCTGGAAATGGCGTGGATCTTATACGTGCGTTCTTCAGAACAGGAACACTTTAAAAATAACATTTGAGGACAATCGAGGTTGTGACCGATATTAGCGCCATTGCGTTACATAACTCGGAGCCCAACGGGGGGGGGGGGGGGTGACCTTGCATGGGCGGCACGAAGCAGGGGCGGTGTGCCCGAATTTGGGATGTGGAGCAAAAACTTTACGAAGGGCCCCTCACACCGATGGGCCTCCATACTTCAGTACAGGCGCGCAGCCAGAGCCTTGGCAAGGGAGGGGCACAGAGTTTACAAAGGGCCCCCGAATAGTAACCCCCCCCCCCCAAACAAAAATATCTGAACATGACCCATTTGCAATGTGAGCAAGTTTTTTTCATTTTTTGCCTTCTTCAACTAGAAAAGAAGCCAAAAGTCACCGCAAAATCAATGCTGGCCAAATTTGTAGTCAATCAAATAAAGACACCATGCGTTAAACGGCTGCATGATTTAAATCACTGACACTCTTCGTCTTACAATGGTCTGGTGGACTCGTCTTAAGCCAACAGGGTTCAGAAGTTTGATCAGAGTTTCATTTGGGTTGTACAGAAATATTAAGGACCGCACGAATTTAGATAGAAATGGGTCAACAGCTTGCACTGACACAGCCATGCCACGTTTTTTTCTGGAACTGTTTAACATTCAGTGAGAAA